CGCCCTTTTAAAAAAGATTTCTTTTGGGAGAAATGTGTTCAAAGCATTCACGATATTCCTGGCAATCCTCAAAGCCTAGTGAGGTACAAACTCAAGTAGATTGCTGCCACCCTGTCGGTTGGTAGCATAGTTGTAAGTACAAAAGCTGGGGGCAAAAGTATGAAAAAGCTGCTATTACAGTGTGTGTTTGCCAAATGACTTTTTTTTTTTAAATATGGACCATTTTTAAAGTCTTCATTGAATTTGTTAGAATATTGCTTCTGTTTTATGTTTTGGTTTTTTGGCCTGTGGAATCTTAGCTACCCGACCAGGGATCAAATGCACACCCATCGCATTGGAAAGTGAAGCCTTAACCACTGGGCCACCAGAGAAGCCCACCCCCATCCCCACAATGACGTCTTTTAATCAAGAAGGCACTTAGCCGTGGTGTGTGCACTGTGGTATTGTGGACGTGTTTAGCATGTGGAGATGATGTACATGATATACAGATGGTTTGGAACTCTTGCCATTTGGGTTATGGCTCTACTGGAGAAGGGCATGGCAACCCACTCCAGTATTCTTGCCTGGAGAATTCCACAGACAGAGGAGCCTGGCGGGTTACAGTCCATGGGATTTCTTTCTTTTTTTTTTTTGAGCATGAAATATTTTATTTTTTTCATTTATTTTTATTAGTTGGAGGCTAATTACTTTACAGTATTGTAGTGGTTTTTGTCATACATTGACATGAATCAGCCATGGATTTACATGTGTTCCCCATCCCCATCCCCCCTCCCACCTCCTTCTCTACCCGATCCCTCTGGGTCTTCCCAGTGCACCAGGCCCAAGCACTTGTCTCATGCATCCAACCTAGTCCATGGGATTTCTAAGAGTGACCGAGTGACTAACACTTTCACTGTCTTGAGGATACAGCTTCACATCCCCTGCGGAGTGACAAGGCTCTTAGTAGGCTCCCTTCCAGGAAGCTACCATCACAGCCAATGCTTCTTCTGACCTGGCTCCAGCTCCAAGAGGCCAGAGAGCTATTTCATCCCCTCCATTCTGCGCCCTTGGTACCAGGGGCAACTCAAGGCACCAGGGTAAATTGCTATCCCAGGTCCAGAGCCTTGCTTCTGGGACAAAGTTGCTTTCTAGCACACCATTGGATCTGGGGGGCTCTTTACGTATATCCTGCATTATTGATTGCATGAATGCCTTATTCACTTGATTCTCAAAGTCTATGTGGAAGTCTAATACGCCCCACTGAGGGCAGCTGACCATCACCATTTATATCTCTAAGTATTCTCTAATATGCTCTATTGACCTGATGTTGAGGGTTTCAGATGTTTACACCTTGTCAGTGGTAAACCTTCAAAGAACTATTTTGCCCCTTAATAGTGAATAAATTGGTTTAAAAAGATTGTACTGTTAGATCTTGCTCCTGAATCTGTTCATTCTGCAAATGTAGATTTTTCATTCTTTACTCAGAATATAATCACTGTCATTAACTGGTATGGATTCTGTGGATAAAAAAGTTAGGTAATCACTGAGGAAAAACTAACCTTGAACTTTAAGGGGAATAGAGAGGATGATTACAGAAAAGAGACTTTAGAGAGACTGAATATTTTTTTTCAGAGTTATTCCTCTGAACCTTACTAACATTATTCCTCTGAAATAAGTATAGATATGCAAGAGAGGTAAACAACTTTTAAGAGAAATCAGTGCATGAAAGGTTAGAAGACATAGAGCACCTTTTCTTTTGTACTCATGCCAAGTAATTTCTTCGTGGCTGTGCAGGAAATGCATGACGTCTTTTTAATTCATTTATTATGATATCCGGTATTTATCTAATGCCTATTCAATACAGAGTACAATGAGTGCTGCCTCTATTTCGTGCCTACTAAGTGTCAAGGCCACTCTGGTACTTTTTTCCCAGAGCACTAATAATCATCTCCAGGTCAATCAAAGATTGATTGCTTGCCAGAGGTCTACTTGGTATTCTGTGAATAAGGCTTCTCTGGTTAGGGTTCAGTCCAATTTCTATTATTTCTGTGAACCACTGCTGAGACACAGAGATGTAGCTATACCCCTCTTCCCTTTGGTGGCCCTTCCTGTGTTGGGTGGGATGTTCACATCTTTCCACATTTGATAAAAATCAAGCCTCTTCTGCCTACTCATTTCAGCACTAGATAAAATGACAGTGTCACACACCGAGAACAGAACACTGCTTTGGTTTCTTCAACATTCTTTTTTTGGCCTCATTTTCCCCCCTCTCTACTGAGTTCTTGAGTCCAAATTTAGTGGTGATGACTAAGAAATTGCCAGGATGTGACAGAGCATTCAGTTCATTGGGTCCTTCCTTGCCATTTTCCAATAGTTGTAACAATTGCCAAGTTTTTTTTCTTCTGCATGTTGGAGGTGCCAGTATCTGTGTAGTATCTGTTATCCTGAACAGATTCGAAGTCACACAAACAGTATTTGTCCCTGCAATGACAGCCTCCATCCACATACAGCTGATTTCATTCTGTGGTATTCAGGAAATTCCCTGCAGACTTCTTACTGGGTTGATACTTCTGAATTCTGGCATTTCTGATACGTCAATCTGAACTTCTGCAATGCAAATCCTGTAAACCAGCGGTCCCCAAACTTTTTGGCACCAGTGACTGGTTTCGTGGAAGACAGTTTTTTCCAAAGACAGGGGTGGAGAGGGGGCCGGGCATGGTTTCGGGACGATTGTCCTAAGAAGTGCACAACTTTGGTCCTTTGCATGTGCAGTTCACAGTAGTGTTCGCCCCCCTGTGACAATCTAATGCCACTGCTGATCTGACAGGAGGCAGAGCTCAGGCAGTAATGTGAGTGATGGGGAGTGGCTGTAAATACAGATGAAGCTTTGCTTGCTCACCTCCTTCTCTGTAGCCCAACTCCTAACAGACCATGGAGTGGTACTGGTCTGTGGCCCAGGTGTTGGGGACCCCTGCTGTAAACAATAACTGAATGGTCTGCTGTGTGCTAGGCAATATGATCAGTCATTGATGGCTGAAAGGCAGATTCAGAAATAAAAGACAAGTTCCTTGTCTTCCAGAGCCAAGCATGCACATGTCCGAGTCACGGGGCCATGCCAGAGATGGAGATAAGAGTTCCTGGGAACACAAATACAAGTGTCATTGGTTCTGATTTAGGAAAGGTCATATATGATTTCCGGGGCAGTCATATTTGAGCTCAACCTTGAGGAATATGAGGAAAGCCAGTTGGTAGAGAGATCCAAGAAATGACGTGAATGGGGTCTATAAAGGCACAAAGGCATAGATTGAAGGCATGGTAACGACCACATTGTGGAGAATTTAAAATGCCACATGAAGTCATTTTACTCTAGGCAAGGCTAAACCAGCATTCTATGCAATCATGCTCATCCCCAGAGAACACGTGGAGACTATTTTAGTCATATTTCTTTGTAGGCATACCTTGGCTTTCCCTATGTTGAGAATTCTACAAAGAGGAGTGTTCACAGCCCATAAATAGAACGCTTTGGTTCCTACCCTGTGGTAGTTGCCTTCAAAGTACATTGCTTCTTGAGTAGGTTGAATTTGTGTGAGTCTTCTGAGTCTCTATCGAGTATGCCCCTAGGCTGAAATTATCCCAAAAGATGACTCTGTTCCAGGCACTCTGGAAGCCAGATGGAAGAACCAGTGAAATTACTGAGTGAAACAGATTTTGTGGATTTCCAGAAAAAAGAAAAGTGCTCAATTATTTAACATTAAGAAAAAAAGCCGCCTCATTTGAGGAATCTGTCTCTCTTTGCTGAAGTGATTCTCTGATACTGTTGCTCAGATAGTAATGCTACCTAACATGAAAATGAAGGAAGGTAGGACTATGGAGGCATCGTACAGAAAAGACAGGTGTCTGGAAAGACTGCAATATTTTATTGCAAGGTGGGTTTTTTTCCCAGGTTTTATCAAAACTTATTCCTGATAAGATCCCAGCAAAATAGCAAGAATCAAAGGGCATCCTTAGTGTCACTGTCATAGGAAACTCACTTAGCATTTTCCTCATTATCTTGGACTCCAAGTGGACCCACTGCTACCCTGCAGATTACTTAGAGATTAAAATCTGCTGTTCATTTCATGTTGTCTACAAATGGATATTTTACATAGCTATTTATTGCATAATGCACATATTGCAAAGCTTAAAAGAAGGTTTTCTGGTTATGTTTGTTTTCAGAAACAGTCTGTTGGGTCAGGAACCCTTCATTTGTATGGGGAAGTCCAAAGAAAACATGGTCATGTACATGGCAGAAAATCACATTGTCAGCTTCAAAATCCCCTGGGCTGCTCTCTGATGTCTGCTTGTAGAATTACTGTAAATTCCTTGCTTCTATATTTATTTGTGTGAAATGCTACTGTAAGGCAAGGATTGGGGTGATGAGGGACTTTTTTTTTCTGTTTTTAAGTCAAGGTCCAATGATCTGAAATAAAAATCAGTTTAGTTTATCTAAAAGTGAAAGTTAGTCTCTCTTAGTAGCATCTCTTTAAAAATCTAGGCGTTCAGCATTGTAACACTGTAACACAGATTTCAGCCTGGGACAACTGAAAATTATAGCATATAGTAACTGGACAATCTATGAAAGTTAAGTACAAGGATGAGATGTTTATTTCTCATATTTAATCTTGAAAGGAACAAAGCTCCACGTGATAGTGTTATGCTTGTCTCTTCAATCTGTGGCTCCTCTATTTATCCAACACATTACACTTATGTGACTGGTTCTTATTTTTCCATTACCTTATTACAAAGAGAGCTAATTATTGATTAGTAGCCCTTGCACTTAGGGCTGTTTATAAAGCATCACGTGAAGTGTTATATATAGTCTCGGTTTCCAATGATAATAGTTTCTGCTGTTAAAATAGAATGTCAGTCATAACAAGCTTTAACAAAGTATGTCCTAAACTCCTGAAGGGCAGTACCATATGGTTCTCCATGAAATTCATAGCTGTGAATATTGAGCTTTTGTTTATTTACTTTTCTTGTAGGAACATTTCACACCTGAGTGCAAATTCAAAGAATCGGTGTTTGAAAATTATTACGTGACATATTCATCGATGATATACCGTCAGCAGCAGTCAGGCCGAGGGTGGTATCTGGGTCTGAACAAAGAAGGAGAGATCATGAAAGGAAACCATGTGAAGAAGAACAAGCCTGCAGCTCACTTTCTGCCCAAACCACTGAAAGGTAAACTTGAGAGTATACCAGCTGTGGATGAAATGAGTATCGGTATTGAAATCAATCCTTTATTTTGAAAGTGGAACATAATCCTTCCATCCTGAGGCATTTATACAAAAATTCAGTAAAATTTTACACTTAAAAAGAACATTAAAGCATTGATGGGAACATCTAATCTCCTGATTGGAGTTGACCAAAAAGTTTGTTTTGGCCAAATCCAAATGAACTTTTGGCCAACCCAATATATCTACATGTGGTAACACCTTACTTATGTGGAAATAGCTTAATTGCTGACTCAGGGCAGCCAAGAACCTCAAGGTATGCCAAAATAGGTAGAAACACAGATGCTCAAATGCGTGCACACTTAACACTTATTGGAAACCGCCTTGGGCCCAACAGTATTGTCCCAACAGTTTTCATTCACAGTTTTGTTTTTCGGTCATTATTAGCAGCTTGGTGGCAAATGAGAGGGCTTCCATGGTGGCTCAGTTGGTAAAGAATCTGCCTCCAATGCAGGAGATGTGAGTTTGATCCCTGGATTGGGAAGATTTCCCTCGAGGAGGGCATAGCCACCCACTCCAGTATTCTTGCCTGGAGAATTCCATGGACAGAGGAGCCTGGTGGGCTGCAGTCCATGGGGTCACAAAGAGTTGGACACAGATGAAAAACTAACACACACACACACACAGAGCAAATGAGAAAGTGTGAGGGACAGGAATGGACCACAGGAGGTAGGGATGACAGAAGGAGTGAGACACAGTAGAAAAGGGGTAGAAAATCCAGACAGAGCAGAGCAAGCCCTTCAAGAGGTTACTGGCCCGAGGTTAGAAGAGCGGTTTACCAGAGGTGCGGTCTGCCCAGTCAAGTCAGCACAGCGCCCTTTTACAGCATGTTTTCTGGAGCCAGATTACTTGAATCCACCTGCAATGCAGGAGACCTGGGTTCGATCCCTGGGTTGGAAAGGTCCCCTGGAGAAGGGAAAGGCTACCTGCTCCAGTATTCTGGCCTAGATAATTCCATGGACTGTATAGTCCATGGGGTCGCAAAGGGCCGGACACGACTGAGTGACTTTCACTTTCACTTTTCATATAAAACCATCAGTGATGGAAATAAGGCATTAGAATTCTCTACACGCCTCTGTACCAAGACTGGCTTTTGCTTCATCTGGTCCAGTCCACTTTCTACTGAGTCTTTGAAAGCAGCATTTCTCAGGTTTGGCCTCCAGTAGAGAAGCCCAGGGAGTAGAAGGAAAGCTGAGGGCCAGCGCGGTGGCCTCTAACGCCGTGTCTCTGTGCTTTGTAGTGGCCATGTACAAGGAGCCGTCTCTGCATGACCTCACGGAGTTCTCCCGATCTGGAAGCGGGACCCCGACCAAGAGCAGAAGTGTCTCCGGCGTGCTGAACGGAGGCAAGTCTATGAGCCACAACGAATCAACGTAGCCAGTGAGGGCAAAACAAGGGCTCTGTAACAGAACCTTACCTCCAGGTGCTGTTGAATTCTAGCAGTCCTTCACCCGAAAGTTGAGATTTGTCAATGACGTTTACCAAACAAACAAGGCAGAGTTCACTATTCTAATCTGCCATCAAACCTTCTCATCCATCCAAAAGCCCCATAATTTAGATCAAGCTTGTGCAAAAAAACAGTGCCGAGCCTGATCAGTGAACTAAATCTGGGAGAAGGACTGCCCAATTTTCTCATGATCTCACCTCTGCTTAGGGGAAGACAAACCAAAAACATTTCACAGCACTAATGCTGATTAAGAAAAATTTGCTCTCCAACCAAGACAATTGAAAAGACCACCATTGTTCTTCAAAAACAAACAAACAAAAAAGAAAACAGAACAAAATTAACTGCTTCCATGTTTTGTAGGGGCAAACAAAATTCTGTGAACCGTGTTGTTTTCTTGGCTTAATGTTTTCTATCTATGCTTGATTCATATGTATTCTTTACTTTGCAATTTTATGATTTCTGAAATTCAATGGTTCTATTGACTCTCTGTCACTTAATCCAACTCAACCAAATTCAGGGTTGAAGCTGAATTGGCATCTCAGGCTCAAGGTTCTTGTGATTTTACCATTTTTTTCCCCTTTAGATTCGTAGTATTCTGGTCAAGTTCTTGTGCTGTACTTTGTGCGTAGAAATTGTGTTGTGTTGTCAACCCCAGTCAGTAAAGATTACTTAAAAATAAAGATTATCCTCAAGTGTAGTTTTCTCTCAATTCCATTTGTGTTATCATGTTAAACTATTATTGTGGCTTCTTGTGTAAAGACAGTAACTGTGGAACTGTGATGTTGTCTTTTGTGTTGTTAAAATAAGAAATGTCTTATCTGTGTACGTATGAGTCCTCCTGTCATTGTATTTGCCACGTGAATATTGTGTACAAGGAAATGTTAAGACTGGTTACCCCTAAACAACATATACTTATACCTGCTTCTGGAAAAGTGTTTAAGACTTAGCTAGGTTTCCATTTAGATCTTCATATCTGTTGCATGGAAGAAAGTTGGAATCTTGGCATAGAGTTGCATGATATGTAAGATTTTGTGCATTAATAATTGTTAAAATCTGTGTTCCAAAAGTGGACATAGCATGTACAGGCAGTTTTCTGTCCTGTGCACAAAAAAGTTTAAAAAAAAGTTGTTTAATATTTGTTGTTGTATACCCAGATACGCACCGAATAAACTCTTTATATTCATTCAAAGAAAAATCCTTTACGTGTATTTACTGTGTCCATGTATTACGTATATATAATACACTTGTATTATAACGTGTATTATGTGCCGTGAATTGTGGTAGAAACTGGAGTTACACATTGAATTATGTACATCTGATCACTGCCTTCAGATAATCTACAGTCTAGAGATTTATATTCACATGAATACTCTTAAAAGTGTAATTGTTATACTTGAACTGCTGGCTGGAACAGAAGAATTCTCATTCCCATTCAGTGATGAACTGTACAAAAGGAACTATATTCTAGTACCCTGCTGTTCACACTGTCATTTCCTCCTCTCTAATGCTCATTTCTTTCCATAGAGGAAAGGCATGGGACTATATCTCAAGTCCTTTCCATCTCTGAGAACCGAACATAGCTATTTTCTTTTTTTATTAAAATTTCAAACCATAAATTAAAAATAGAAAGAATTTTACAGTGAATGCTGGTAAACCTACACCTGTGTTCTAATATTCACATACTACTATACTGTACATCTATCCATCCATCACTCCATCTTATTTGTGACACGTTTCAAAATCAACTACAGATATCTGTACACTTCCTTCTAATTTGGTATGTATCTCAGGAACCAGAGTTCAGTGTCCATTTGCAGTTTTTTCCATCATATACAACTTACAATAAAGTGCACATAGAGTGTCTTTGTTGAGTTGACAGATGCATACATTTGGGTCACCATAAACTTTGTCAGTGTTGATGACTTTTCACTATCTCCCCAAAGCTGCCATTGCCTGGTCATGAAGCTTCAGAAGTCGACCATGTAGGAAGGTGAGAGTGGAGAAACAGGTAAAACATAATTGGCATCCATCAAATAAAGTTCCTGGGGCCCCAAGCAGCGTGCTTTTGCACAAAGGAAGTCTGCTGATTCCTAAGACATCTGGACTGGATTCAGCAGGAGCTCCTAGCCTAGCCCAACCCAGCCCAGTTCAGTCACCTTGTGATCCTGTCTTAAGCCCTCCTCGTGCCAGAGCTCTTAGGTCCAGCTGCATGAAAGATGCTGCCTACCCAGATTGGCCAGAAGCCTGGGTATCCTATGCCATAACCAGACTCACTCAACCTTGCCCCCCTATTCAGTCTTCCTGATTTTCAATCCATAGAGAAAAGTACTGCATTGTCTCAATCTTGCTCCAAAGACTTTAAGATTTGATCATTGACGAGTTTCCTTGCAGCTTTTCCTTTTTCATTGCTCAAGAATAGAGTAGGTCTGCTGGTAACAAACAAGTCAGTACTTTGGTGTCTTAGGGAAGCCTGGCATAAATTAGAAGTGGCCAGAATGCCCAGGAATAATCCTTTAGTCCCAGCATTCTCTATGAGCTGACTCACGTTGTTTTTAACCAAAGGTGACGTTTAAATAAGTCAATAATTAAACTGACCTCCAAAAAAACCTCACCACAAACAGAAATACTTTCACATACCTTCATTACACACACACACACACACACACACACACACACACACACACACACACACACACACACACACCAGTAACATTTCCCATGGTCGGAAACATTAGCTGTGGCAAATGTTTGATGAAATAACAGTTTCGGAAAAGCACCACAAGGACTATTGGCTCGCAGGTATGTGTCCACACTGTAGACACCTAGAGGGCTTGTAAGATACAGATGGCTGGACCCCACCTCCAGTGTTTCTGATTGAGTAGGTCTGGAGTGGGCTCAAGCCTTCGGATGTTTAAGTTCCCAGGTAAGGCTGCTGGTCCTGGGGAACCATACTTTGAGAAACACGCACACACACTATCCTTCAGGATTGAAACTGTGTATTAGAACATTGAATTCTAGAAAGTTCTGTGTTAAGGAAGCCTGCTTAACTGAGAACTGCTGGGATGAACTGCTGCTTCTCTGACCATGAAGGCACAGTTTCACAGAGCCCATATTAACCCTGCAGTAGAGCAATGGTCCTCAGGCCTTTGGGGATACCAGAACCACCCATGGTGTTCGGCTTACTTCCACAGTTTGAGGCCAGGCCTAAGAATGCGCTAAATTGGGTGCCCACCACAGTGTGAGACCACTGCTCTGTGGCTTGCACTCAATCTCAGTTAGTCACACTCTGTTAGTATATATCCACAGAGTATATACAGAGAAGTGTATATCTTCTTGTTGAATTGAGTCTAGGAAACAATATAGAAAACAACAACCAATAGCCCTTTCTTCAAGCTTCTTGCAGTTATTTAAAAGAAAAATGAATGCCAAAGTTTTCCTCCAGGAGTTGCGCTTGTACCTGGAGGGAACACGGATCCTTAAAGGACTGAGCAGGGAAGTGATCTGTAGCCCTTATCGTCACCTTCCTCACTGGCCTGGTCCTAAGCCAATCAAGTTCACTGAGTGAGGGAGTGATAAGTCGCTCAGTCGTGTCTGACTCTTTGTGACCCCATGGACTGCAGTCCGCCAGGCTCCTCTGTCCATGGAATTCTCCAGGCAAGAATACTGGAGTGGGTTGCCATTTCCTTCTTCAAGTTCACTGAAGAACTTGTCAAAGGAGCCAGCAACATGGATCCGAATTTTCCAAATAGCCATAATCCAAGTGAACACAGTGGAGGAGATGAATATCCAAAAGGATCATCTCTTCATCTACACTGACCGATTATATTAATAACCGATCTGTGGAGAAGGCATGGCGGAATCCAGGGCTGATGACCATTTTGAATAAATGTCATCCAGATGCCTTAGAAACCTCATTTAGTTGAGGTGTGTCATTCATGAGATAAATTGAAATGTGCCCTCACTGGCACCTCGTATTCCTACCAACAGTCTTTCCAAGGCAATCTAGACTTCTACTGTCATGCTTCTCAAACTTCTTCTAACCTCTAGTTAAAGCCATTTCCACATTTTAGATCTTGATTATAGCAGCACCCTATTATAGGACCAGACTCTGTACAGGAATGTAGTAATGGCAAAATGGATGACCATTTCCAATCAAAACCAAGTGGACAGCTGTAGCTAGGCTAGGCATTTGTGCCCCAAATTATTAACTTTATTGAAAATTACAACTTATCATACTTTTCATCATGCTATATGCCAAAACCAAAACATATATATGGTCCCAGGGTTTGGCTTGATGCATTTGGCTATCCTGGAATGAGGCCACCTGGCCAACATGCTAGCTTTTTCTGACACCTTGGGTGTGCCCTATATCCCTAATGAATGGGAATGCTACAAGCAGGTACACGCAACAGAATGTGCCTTAAATTCTGGGTTGCTCTTTAGCTCTAAATGAGAAAAAAAAGGGAAAATCCACACTCAGAGAAATAGCATTTGAGTGCTCTTCTTTCATGAATCATCACATCCAGGACCTTTTTAATCTCTAAACATTGTGCCACTTTTTAGAGGTTAGTTTGAATTTACTACAGAGAGCAATATTCTATGCCAAATCAGTCAGCCCTTTTGCTAATACACATGAATACAAATGTCTGGTATTTTCTTCATCACACTTACTCTAATAAAAAAAAAATAAAGGAAAGTACAGGGCATCTTCCAGGAATGTTTCCACTTCTACGTAGGCATTCTTGAAGAGGTTTGTAACAGCTGCAGTTCTGTCATTATGCAGGCTGTCTTTCTAGAACACCCAATATGGCTGGTTTTCAGTATTAGGATTCCAAACAAATTTACCAAATATCAATGCAATCTCTTCTTTTCTATTAATTTTGTTTCACACACTCTGCCTCTCTGTCTCTTGTCAGTCACTTCACGCACG